TGTATCAATCAATAACGAACAAGGAAAATGATAGCATAGAAATTTGAATGCATTCAAAGTCCACTTAAAGAGATTGTAAAGATGTTTTCTTAAATTTTTTATGTGTATCAGGGACACTGATAGCATCGATTTGTACCATTCTAATTTTCAATCGAATGTCTGTGGTTCCTGCAATTCCACTCAAATTAAGATTCGTTTGGATTAAACATTTTATGACGTCAAGTCCTTAAGTGATAAAGCATATTTTGATGTAAGTAACGTCATCAAACACTTAGTTTTAGTGGAATTGCAGGAACCACAGACGTCTGATTGAAAATTGGAATGGTGTAAATTGATACTATCAGTGTCCCTGATACACATAAAATTTGTAGAAAACCTCTTTACAATCCCTTTAATTACATGCTTTGATTGGTTAAAAATTAAGTTATTAGAACACGACAGCAGTAGAAAAGTTGTTAGATTACCATGGAAGAAAATATATCAAAATAAAAAGAAACAAAATTGAAGTTGTTAATCAGATTTCAGTTAGATTGCTCTAGTACAAATCGGTTTATTATTATTAGTAGTAGTCTACCGACAGTTTTGATTGACAGTTGGTCAGTAGTTGACACCATTTTAATTAATTTATTACAAATGTACTAATCAATTATTTAATTAGTGATTAGAGTTAACGAGGGGGAGGATACTAATTAATAGTTAGACACAGTAGTCTTCTAAAAATTACTTGGCACTTTAAAGCAGGAATCCCAAAAATACGTAAATTGGAATCAGTTTGAAAATTCAGATTTTATGCCTGAAGAGAAACAAGAGAAAACTGCCACAACCTGGGCTTTTGTGAGTAGGTCCACCATAATTCATTGGGACTACAGTTTTATAGACCTCTACAGTTGCCAGTTTACTTACTAAATTCAAAAATCCAAGGGAGCTGCAGTGGCTCAGTGAGTTAGACCTGCCCGCTGTTCAATCCCAACATAGGTTGAGATAATACATTCAGATTTTTCAACCCGGTTTCCCCCTGTCACTGATGCAGGTAATACGGGCTGACAAGGAAAAAGCTGTGAATCTTAAAGATCCCTCAACAGTTGGAAATCGAAAAAGAGCAGGCCAATGCCAGTGTCCTGGCAAAATTTCCCTCACTTCACCCTGCATGGCATTGCCCGTCTTCATTAGCCCACATGGTGTAGAAAAGTAGGATGTAAAACTCCATTCATTTCATTCATCAATTTTCAAAACCCATAATATTATGAAAATAATAAACTTATAATACATTCAATGAACATATTTGAAATGTTATCTGACTTACTAATTAAAAATGGCGACAGACTGCAAGGCTTATTCTATTATTGTCCACAACACTAACTCTACACTCGGACTTGAAACCTTTTAACACCTGGGATATACCTAGTATACAGTCGGAAACTAGAATCTTCGAAATTCTAAAATGATTCCTTCAGGCCCAAAAGCCATGGGGTTAGTCTAGGATTCAGTCTAATTAAAATTAGGCCAAACTTTCATTCCATTTTTTATTAGCTTTTATTTTTGATTTAGTCACTTCTGTTAAGGTCTAATGACAGCCCTCGTGGACATTCGTCAGTTTTATGACGCTGCCGTTCAATCAGCTTTCTTCCCTCTCCGGCAACAGGGATTTTGTTGCGAATTAAACTAAAGGTGTAGTCTTATTCACTTGATAAACTAGTCTAATTCTTCTTGGATACACCTTTATTTGCATCACAAAATCCCCAAAAAGGATTGTCAAATTTTAATTCGGTGAATCAACACATTTTGACTGTGTTATTTGACCATATAAGAGTAAATGAGGAAGGAATGTTTCAGTAATTTTGTACGGTACTCACCGTTTTTGAATCATACTCATCAATAGGTACAATTTCAATGATGTCATTATCATCTAAACCACTTAAATCTTGAGACGTATCCATGGTGATATTTCTTCCAAATTTATTCACATAAAAATCCTTTCACTTTTCAGAAATATTTACACGATATTTATGTCAATAATGCAGTAAAAATTGTCAATTTCACGAATGCAGACATTTTTTTTTTCAAGGTACAAATTCCACTGGGACAAGCTTTCAATTCAACCAAACGACATTTAAGGCTCGGTTTTTGTTACTAGAAAAACTTGTCGTCCTTACGCAAACACCATTTGTCACTTAGATTATTTACATTTGAAAAAAATAAAAGAAATTCCACACAAATTGAATCATCGGTGAATATTTTGGCCAGATTAATGTCTTCCGTTCAACTGCGCATGACCGAGGTAATTAGGAACTTCCGGAATTTCAGCCAATTAAAATCCACCATTTGTTTACATCTTGAAAGATCAAAAACATGCCGACGTGGATATTTTGATCTTTTGTCGATCACGGAAAAATCGATAATATTGAATGAAAATTTGAAAAGATCGATTTCGGACATTTACAAATCTTTTTCTTGATATTTGATCAAGAATTCTGAATTGTTTCAAGAGCGACCATCCCCGAAAAATCGATGAAAAAAAGTTTTGGCACACCTTGATTTTTTTCGATTGTTTGCAAATATTCTGTTAACACAATTTCACGACCCCCGCACAGACGGTTGCACAGTGATATCAGGTGTCCCGTTTAGGAATGTGCTAAGGAATGATGACACAGTTTTCAAGTTCTTGATAAGTTCAAAAATTAGACGTTTCGAAATTAACATTAACATTAACCAAAAAAAAAAGTGTGAAGTATCGAACACCATCTAAAAGCTAGCCCCATTGTCCATAGATTTCGTGTTAGGAGTGTTCAATCAATCACAGGTTTTTAAACTCTATTGTACTAAACTGAGCACAATTCATACCTTTTAGTAAGGGATAAAGGACTAAAACAATGGATTCTTTAAACGAAAGCTTAGGAGAAATCTATCAAGAAAGTGGTGTACTCAGGGCATCTTAATAAGTATACTAGTAGGGTGGGGGCAACTTGGAGGGTATGGCATCAATTTGAAGAATGAGTTCATCAACAGCGGAGCCACTTGGGGGTACACCCTCGGTCCCTCTCCAGGGTTGCACGATATCGTGCTTCCACAGCCTCATAGCATTTGGAATCTCAAACACGCAAATTTCACATAGTCACCAATGCTGGTTTTACAATTGAAGGGAGAAAACTCTATCTTAGGAAATTGACTTTAGCTACATACAACAAGTAATTTCTTATTTTTTATAGTCGCATATAGAGATCTGTTTTGATGACGGTACTGGCGTTTATTTTGCATTATACGATGTTTTGAGGGGAAGCAGAGCTCGAGTGGCCAATGGAGCCTTATTGCGAGTAGTGTTGGGTGTTATAGAAGATATTCTCCTATAGAAGCACTGGCCAAGGTCACTAGAATGGGAGGCGTTCAAGCTTTTAAACATCTCGTTCGTTCAGGGGTTATGAAATGAAATGAAATGAATGGAGTTTTACATCCCACTTTGAAGAGCTAATGAAGATGGGCAACGCCATGCAGTGTGCAATGAGGGAAATTTTGCCAGGACAGCGGCATTAGCCTGCTCTTTTTTGATTTCCAACTACTGTAGAGGGATCTTTTACAGCCTGTAGCACACGGGGCCTCAGTTTATTGTCCCATCCAAACGACTAGACGCTTTTTCCATGCCAGCCCCTCTTACCTGTATCACTGACAGGGGGGAATCTGAAGGTATTATCTGGACAGGCTCGTCGTTAGAGTGGGGTGAGAATTAAGCCGAAGCGAAGCCTTCATCAGTTCATCAGAGATTGATTCATTTACTGTGTCTTTGTACAAAATCAAAAAGATGTAGATTTTGATACGTTTTGGCACCTCAAAATTGTCAGAAATGAGTTCTCTGGGCCTTTAATTCTTCAAATTTTCTTAGTATAAAATCTGAGCCCCTGCACCAATTCATTCGTGGCGACTGGGCTGTCTCGACCAATGCCGGGGTTATTCAGGGTGTCTGAGAGGCCCGAGTCGCAAGCATAGGGTGTGTGGGGTAGGGGGTAGGGTGTACGAAAAAGTCGGTAAGGTAATCAAAGAACTGCAGACCGCAGAATTGCATTTTTCAATAGCTAAGAATAGACGATTTCAATTCATTAAAATTTGAGAAATTAACTGTAGTCTCTAGTCTTGAGATTCTTATTAATTTGGATTGCTTCCCTTTGACCATAAAAAAATATCATCATGGCTGTCGTTTCGATACTCTCGGTAGCCTAGTACCTGGATTCTTTAAAAGTTTGTAAGCAAAATGTAGGCATGAATGCAATCTTCCTTTTCATTATATGTGAAAGGTTACGAATCAAGGTTCATTTTACAAAGGGAAATCAAACTTTATCCGCCATAGGCCAGATAGTTTTGGAGAAGAAGCGAACTACTTCAAAGGAAAATGGAGTCGGACTTCATCCTATATTGAAATTATTGAAAGTATCTTGGCTTCTAGATCGTTCAGGCTGAAATTTAGGACAATAATCACAACAGCAGGTAAGTATTGAAGTTTTAATGATTCGTTTGATACCAAATGTGTCCAGGTTTAATGCATACAGCTCGCTTGAAACACAAAATATTAATTTTGAACTTTTTTTTGCTGCAAGTCACTGTAGAACCCCTGTATTACGACCGACATGTTGAGTGGCCTGAATTACAGGTTATGGCTTTAAGTTGTGTTTCTAATTTCTTTCCAGAAAATTTTGAAGATTGAAATGAATTCCCCTGATTTAATATCAGCCAGGTCCTCCAGTGAGTCTAATCTCAGCCATGGTTTCTCCCCTCATCTCTCCGAAACAAGTTCACCATCGAACAGCAGCCACAATTTCACTAATCAAGTCAGGCTTTCATTTGAAGAGGAGGCGTCTGGTTCGTCAATCAATGATGTCATAGCCGAACATTTAGCCGTTAACACTTCAAAGAACAGCAACAAAGATGCATCATCATCACAAACCAATGATGCAACAACATCTAAATTGCCGTCGATTCTGGGACCATCAACTTCAAATGGAATCATGCGTCAGATGTCGAGCGAAGACGTCATTTTGATCGATGATGAGGACCAAGCGAGAAAGTGCTGTATCTGCCGCCAACTTTTCCCCGATAATTTGACTTTACAGATTCATTTGAAGTGTCATATCGGAGATAAACCTTTTAAATGCACATATTGCCCGAAATCCTTTTCACACGACAGCCATTTGCAAATGCACTTAAAAATTCATTTGGGAATCAAACCGTTCGAATGCAGCTTTTGTAATAAGTCGTTTATTCAAAAAGGGAATCTACAGTCGCATTTACGGACTCACAGTGGACAGCGACCATTTCAATGCGAATTCTGCAATAAGTGCTTCACGCAAAAAGGAAATTTGCAGACCCATATCAAGTTGCATTATGGGGAGAAACCATTTGCATGTCCTCTGTGCGGAAAACGTTTTAACCAAAATGGCAACCTTCAATCTCACATTCGTTGTCATGACGACCAAAAACCATTTAAATGTGATATTTGTTTGAAAACGTACAGCCAAAAATCAAATTTAGAAATTCATATGTGGTCCCACAATGGAACCAAACCCTTTCCGTGCCATGTTTGTGATAAATCTTTCGTCCAGAAAAGTTCGTTGATGGCACACGTAAAACTACACGAATCGAAAGCGGAGCAGGATCAAAGAATAAATGGATTGATGGGATTGAATTTTCTACCGCAACTTCCTGTGTTTTCGTTGCCAAGCCTGGGTGAAACCGCGTTTCCAAGACCACTTAACATTTTGTCCAAATATTCCAACATGGCCGACAATGCAGACGACAAAATTAACTGCAATCCTGATCGCTGTGTATGTTTGACGTGTCAAAAAATATGTCAGAATGATGCCGAATTGAAAAACCACGCCAAACACTGTAAGAATAAACAAAATTTTACGTGTGTGATATGCTTTATGTGTTTCCCGGACGATTTTTCGTTGCAGACGCACCTAGTTACGCATAGCGTTGCCGTAGAGCAGGTCTTTCGCTGTCAAATTTGTAAAATGTCCTTCAATTCTTCTGAGGCTATCAAAGAACATATTGAATCTCATTCTAATGACTTGTGACAAGGGATGTTGATTTGGTTGTGTTTGCCGGTCATGTCTTGATAGTTACTTAAAATGACTGGCTGTGAATTTATGCTATAGGACACAAAGTGGAATGATATGTGATTTCTCCAAAAACTTGTTGGAAATGCAATTCAATTCTGCAAAAATGTGCAGGTACTTAAAAATTGACAATTTGATATACGTATTGAAGTTGCAAACTTCAAAAAAATCTTTTTGGTTTTAAAAAACTGTCTGTTTGTGTGCATGTTTGTTTGTTTTATTTGTTTTTGTCTTGATGTTTCGTAGATGTGCTTTCATCATTGTTTTGTGGATAGAAAATATTCTTTCGAAAAGAAAAAATTGTTAGTTTGTGATTTTTTTAAATGTGTAAATTTTAAAGATTATTTTTTTTTTAAATAAAATTATAAAACTGATGCATTTTATCATTATTTATCAAACCAGTTCAGTTATGATATTTGTCAAGGCTGAAGGTGAAGACAGTTACATTTGAATAATGATATTGGAAACACTTATAGCTTCTATTTGCATCATGAATATGCAATTATCAAAAATTAAGGGGGAATCCCCATGCGGAAATGTTAGACACATATTAAACATTCCCATTTAATGCAATTTTCTCACCTGAAATGCTTCATTATTAGGATCACATAATTTAAAAAAAAATTAGGAAGTTAATTGTAGTCTGATCTTCAAAAATGATTGGAAGAGTTAGCTCCCATCAATGGAAATCTCAGGAAATTCTATTTCCGGTCAACTTTTTGACAAAAATAACAATGTTAATGGATTATTTTGACATTGGCATGAATTGGAAAGGAAAGCAGAAGTTCAGGGCTACCGATTTCAAAGAATGAAGACCATTGACACTTTTGATGTGGGTCTCAAAGGGAACGAAACTCCAAAAAAATGGCCCAAAGTAGACGTAAACAAATATCACGTGATCATTGAAAACAACAATGGCGGCGGTCACCATTCCGTCGGAAACTGTAATTTATAATTAAGGAAATTTCATGCATTTTCTCCCGAAGATCATTAAAAATAAGGTAAGCGTTAGTTTCTTTTTAATCTCATGCTCCAAAAAAATGAAAATTAAGCTGCAGTCATCGTACATACGACCCTAAACTGATGAAATTCACCTAAGAATTTTGCATCATGTTTTTTCATGCATTCATTCAGTCTTATATTCAGTGTAAACCCAACAATACAATGGTCTAAATTTAGCTGATCGCATGGACGGACATGTCATGCCTTGGTCAACCATTGGCCACATAATTAGATCTATGTAGAATGCAAACATAAACATGAAATGTTTGATGTCTGACCAAAAGCATATTAGAATTACATTTTCATTTGCTAATAATTTTTGTATGTCGATCTTTTTCAAATATTAACTCCAAAAGGGTACTGATAGTCTAAAATTGTCTTCGGGTTGATTTCAATTGACGAAGAATTCAATTCTGAGCTTACAGTGATCAGAGAAGCTAATTGTCACTTGAGTAAGCTTACTTAAGTGAGCTTGATAGCTTCATCAAAAGTGTAGTAGGCTCTTGAATCTTGGAAATTGCTGTCCTGCAAAATTTTCCTCATTGCACACAGTATTCCATTTAATATTTTTATTTATTGTTTTATTTAAGGAATTTTGTTTTTAAAGTGCCATGTCCGAGGTTTCCAGGGAGGACACAGCTACACTTAATGATGTAGCTGAAGGTCAAGGACAATCAGAAAAGGCGTCTGCTGCTTCTACAGGGACTGGAACCGATGACCTTGAACTTTCACAGAAGCAAGAAGAATCACAAGCTCAGGAATCAAGGCAGCAGACAGCAGCCCAAGGTCAAGGACAAACTTCTACAACTGCTGCTTCCATAGGAACTGGAACAGATGACCTTGAAGAAGCAGACCAAGGTCAGGGTCAAGAGGCGTGGAATCTAGATTCCTATCTTCAAAGCCAGGGAGAGGTGAGTTCCACCATTATTTCCATAGAGGGGTAAGAGGGGCTGACATGGAAAAAGCGTCTAGTCGTTCTGATGGGACAATAAACCGAGGCCCCGTGTACTACAGTCTGTACACGTTAAAGATCCCTCGACATTTGGAAATTGAAAAAGAGCAGGCTAATGCCGCTGTCCTGGCAAAATTTCCTTCATTGCACCCTGCAGAGCGTTACCCGTCTTCATTAGCCCACAAGGTGCAGAAAAGTAGGACGTAAAACTCCATTCATTTCATTTCATTTTTTGTAAATTCAGGACAAGAATCCATTTAGTGGGTTAAGTGATGAGCATCTGAATCAGCTAGAAGATGTTTTGTCCAGCGATGCTGTGAAATCCCTACTCCAGCAGGCAGAGTTTCAGAATCTGGAGACTAGTCTGATTACCAGTATGGATGGACCAAGCACTTCCCAAGATTTCTCCATTGATGAAGCTACAGCTCATCAGATCATCCAGGTAAGCTCTTTCTGATTTTAATCCTCAGGATGCTTCAAGGGAAGTAGGAGTCTTAAAGATCCAACCCTTGATCTACCACAGTCGAAACAAAATTAGTTTTCGTTTCATTTTTTATTAGATTTTATTTATAATATAGTCACTTCAGTTAGGGTCTAAAGACAGCCTTCTTGAACATTCCAATTGACCTTTTGACCTAACCTGCTTACTCTTTTTGAAACACCTGATGGTACTTCTCATTTCCTAGGTCACTAAGATGGCTTCTTGACTTTCAAATTCAAATTTTTTTCTGCAGGATGGTGTGAGAGAACATGAACTGGCTGTTATTGCAGCAGCTTTCAATGATCATGCTTATGCCATGCCCTTGGTTCGTCAACCACCACAGAACCTCCCCACCAGCGTCGAACCTCTTGATACACCATCACCTAGTTATGAACCTATTGAGTCTCCATCATCCAGTTTCAAACCACCAGCGACTCCTACATCCAGTAAAGGAAAGAGAGAAGAGGATAAGTCTCCTCATGAGCCAATCAGGTGGGTATAGACCAGGATTTAAAGGGGGAGGGTGGGGTGTGTGTCGGTTAGATACACCATAGACCATAACTTTCTCCCAGTGTACAATGGTATATGGGTTTTGTTTATTGATGTAAACATTAAAGATCACTTGACAGTAGGAAATAGAAAACGAAAAGGTTAATACTGCAAAAATATAGCTCATTGGGCACTGCATTGTGTTGCCTGTCAGGTGCAGAAAAGTAGGATGTAAAACTCCATTTCATTATATAGATCTAGTAGGCTTTGAATCTGAAAAAAATACCATCGTTTGGCCCAAAAATAAAAGATACATCAGAACTTGAAGAATTTTTCTCACATTCGATAAAGTCATGATCCTTTTTTTTTGTGGCAGGCGTTCAACACGTATTAGTGATGCAGAGCAACGAGAAATGGCAGAGAAGATCCTGCAGGAGAACAGACAGAAGGCCAGGGAGGCTTTATTGAACCAGGAGGATAAAGAAGAGGAGAAAGAGGAACCTAAGAAAGGGAAACGAGGGCGGAAACCCAAAACTGAGACTGATCCTGCTAACCCTTTGAACACTAAGTGGAACAAGGTGGGTAAATTTTATATATTCTGGTTTTCCTGTGGCCTAATCCTTTTCAGTCCATTTGGCTCAGTGTGTGACTCCTTATGTAGAGGTTAGATTTCAATCTTAGCAAAATTTCCCTCATTGCACACTGCAGTTTTAGTCCAAGAAGATATTGAAAAGTAGGACTTTGATTTATTTCAGAAAAACAGAAGAACTCGATCTGCCAAGAATGGAGAAGAAGAAGAGGCGGAGTCAGGAGAAGAGGGAGGAGGAGCTACAGAAGAAGACACGCCCAAACCACCAGCAGTGCGAGGCAAGAAAGCAACAGAAGGCACAGAGACTCCGCCTCCAATGAAAAGAGTCAGTCGTGGCAAGTGGAAGAATCCATTATTTAAAGACAGACCAGAATCCCCTGCTTCTCCTGCTAAAACTCCAGCATCCCCTGCTTCAGCCAAGGGCAATAACTCTCCAGCTTTGACCAGAAGCACCTTGAAAAAAGACGATTCTGAATCGGACAATAAGCCAACGCCCAAACGAGGACGTGGTCGAAAGAAGAAGCAAGAAGAGGAAGATGAAGAAGAAGCAGATAAAAAGACTGCAGCTGACGTCAAAACAGCTGCGACGAAAAAAGCTGCAGAAGAAAAAAATGGCGATGCAAGCGTTGAAAATATTCCTTATTCTGAGTTTATAACCCAACTGGACACAAAACCGAAAGGAAAGAAAGGGGCAGCTAAAAAGGGTAAGTCATAATTTTTTGCTTCTGTTGCTTTTACTGAAGATTGAGTCCATTATTAATACATTGGTCCAATCAAATTCTTACAGTTGTGGTCTATTTTGTAATATTTAGACATACTTCATTATACTCAATGATTAAAATTATTGTAGGAGTAGTGACTGGTAAAAAGGGACTACAGAAGACAGGAACAGTCCAGACCAAGAAAGGGAAAGTGAAAGTAAAGGATCAGAAAGAAGCAGGTAGTCAATCCAGTGAAGAAGATATTCCTCTTGGACAGTTGCAACAGCGCACCAAACCAAAGAAAGTGAAACCCAAATTAAAGGCTACGCTTACTGAACAGGTGATTTTTGATAAACAAATATTCCTTTCATACTGCATCTTTCACAATGTCAGGCAATCAAGAACTGTTTCTAATACCTTGACTATATAAGGCTCTTTGATTGTATCATGTACGCTATCAAATACAGCCAATCAGAGCCTGTGACAGAAGGTCTGTAAATTATAAGATCAGTCTGTATGCTGTAGGCTCTGATTGGCTGTATTTGCTAGCGTACAATCCAATCAAATTACAGCATTCCAAGATAGAAAAAAAGAGACCAAGGAGATTTTTTCACACCGTCTCAGTAACCCTTTTGTGTCTATTTTTAGCCGACTGCTACAGAGGAGGCAGATGATGAGGATCTCCCTTTGAAGACTTTATCCAAACTAGCTAAATCACCTTCTAAACTGAAAAAACTGAAAGCAGCCATATCATCTAAACGAACCGTGAAAATCCTCCATAAAAAGGTAAGAATTTTAGAGGATTCACAAGAAATTTTATAGGGTTTGTATGTCAGTGATATAGGTAAGAGGGACTGACATGGAAAAAGCATCTAGTCGTTCAGATGGGACAATAAACCGAGGCCCGTTGTGCTACAGGCTCTGCACGTTAAAGATCCCTCGACAGTTGGAAATCGAAGAAGAGTAAGCTAATGCCGCTGTTGTGGCAAAATTTCCCTCATTGCACACTGCATGGTGTAAAACTCCATTCATTTCATTTCTTATTGTGACCAATTTCATTTTTAGCCCGGCATGGCTGGCAAGTCCAAATTCTTAAAGACCTTGAAGCCACCAAGTCAGATGAAGATGATGCAGGAGAAGAAGAAGAAATTAGCAGAGAAGAAGAGGCTTGCTATGGAACAGAAATTAGCAGAAGAGGAAGCTAAGAAGGAACCAGAAACACCAAAGACCCCAACCTCTGTGGACAAAAATGCAGCGAAAAGAAAAGCAAGAAAGTCCGAAACGGAAGTCTTCATCGATCCCACAATGACAGACCTCTTTAAACCAGATGGCATGATCGTTCATGAGCATGAAAAAGAAGCGCCAGCTCCTGAAGTTAAATTTGATGCCAAGGGTCATAGAATTCCTGATTCTGAGGTCAAGACCGAGAGAAAGGATTCCGACTCTAAACCGGTCAAAGTTGAAAAACCGAAAGACGCCAAGCAGACGCCTGCTAAAAATGAGAAACAGGACATTTCCAAGCCTTCAACTGATAAGGCAGACGTCAAAAAGGCTGAGGTCAAAGTTGAAAAGTCAGGCCAGGTCAAAGTTGAAAAGTCAGAGGGGAAGAAATCTGATCAGACTAAAACTGAAAAACCAGAAATGAAAAAGTCGGACTCTGTCAAAGGTGAAAAGCTAGAGGTCAAAAGGTCAGATTCTGTCAAAGGTGAAAAGTCAGAGGTCAAAAGGTCAGACTCTGTCAAAGGAGAAAAGCCAGAGGTTAAAAGGTCAGACTCTGTCAAAGGTCAGAAGTCTGAAGTCAAGAAGGAACGAAGGGAATCCAGTGCAGACAAACATCGGCTTTCAACAGAGGGTCACCATGAAAAGCATCGACATTCTTCTGAAGAAAAACGTAAACATTCGACAGAGGAAAGGCACCGGCATTCAACTGAGGACAGGAAGAAGTCTGAGAGGAGGTCTGTGGGGGAAAATTCTGTAAAGAGTGAAAAAGAAAGAAAGGATAGTAAAACAAGTAACCCTGATGAGGCCCCTGATCGAAAACCATCTGAAGAAGGCATGGACAGTGGTAAGCAAAGCAAAAGTTTTTTGACAGTATCATACTTGATTTTGATATTGACAGTATCATACTTGATTTTGACAGTATCATACTTGATTTTGATTTGACAGTATCATACTTTATTTTGATTTTGACAGTATCATACTTTATTTTGACAGCATCATACTTGATTTTGACAGCATCATACTTGATTTTGATATTGACAGTATCATACTTGATTTTGACAGCATCATACTTGATTTTGATATTGACAGTATCATACTTGATTTTGATATTGACAGTATCATACTTGATTTTGATATTGACAGTATCATACTTGATTTTGATATTGACAGTATCATACTTGATTTTGATATTGACAGTATCATACTTGATTTTGATATTGACAGTATCATACTTGATTTTGACAGTATCATACTTTATTTTGATATTGACAGTATCATACTTGATTTTGATATTGACAGTATCATACTTGATTTTGACAGTATCATACTTTATTTTGATTTGACAGTATCATACTTGATTTTGATTTTGACAGTATCATACTTTATTTTGACAGTATCATACTTTATTTTGACAGTATCATACTTCGCTTTAATATTGACAGTATCATACTTGATTTTGATATTGAGAAGAGTTGTTTCCCTTGTCATTGTAGAAAGTGATGGCGGACTGAGTTTTGAAGATGATGAAAATGATGAAGATTGGTTGGATCCTAATACTGTTTACTGTCTTTGTCGTAAGCCTCACAGTAACAGGTAGGCGAGCTGAAAATGGCCCCCATGTTGGTGCTGTTAATATAAAAATAACTGAGTGCTTGGGGAACAATTAACTGAGGTCCTGTGCAGTTGGAAATCAAAAAAGAGTACGCTAATATCGCTGTCCTGGCAAAATTTCCCTCATTGTACACTGCATGGTGTCAACTGTCTTCAATCAGTCTTCAATCCCCATTTTATTTTATTTCACAACCGATATTACCACTAATATTATGGTGTCTGCGTAATGCCAACTCTGTTTCTAGAATATCCTAGCTCTAAGATGTTTAGCAATTATACAGTAAATGCCATTTTGGTTCCCAGGTTTATGATTGAGTGTGATTGCTGTGAGAAGTGGTTCCATGGCAGTTGTGTAGGTGTAACAGAAACTATGGGTAAAGAGTTCGAAGCTCTGGATATGAACTTTGTGTGTCCAGTTTGTACAGAAGCTGGTAAACAACCTAAACCCAAACCCATACCGGTAAATATAGATTTTGAGTACAATGTTGTCTTTTGAAGTGAAATGATTTAGGAGTGCTTTGGATTTGAGTCCTCCTCCTTTCCTTTTTATGGTTGGATCTTGGATTAATGCTTGCTAATTCTTATCTCGGTCAGCGTGTGAAAGTCTGGTGACCTTGAATAAGCCATCTTTCCTCATTATTCCAGTCAACCCAGCTGTAAATGGGTACGGATAATCAGGGAAAGATCAATACCAAGAGGGTTGATCAAGAACCAGCTGGTAGAAAGGATCCTCATTATTCCAGTCAACCCAGCTGTAAATGGGTACAGATAATCTGGGAAAGATCAATACCAAGAGGGTTGATCAAGAACCTGCTGGTAGAAAGGATCCTCATTATTCCAGTTGACCCAGCTGTAAATGGGTACAGATAATCTGGGAAAGATCAATACCAAGAGGTTTGGTCAAGAACCAGCTGGTAGAAAGGATCCTTATTATTCCAGTCAACCCAGCTGTAAATGGGTACAGATAATCCAGGAAAGATCAATACCAAGAGGTTTGGTCAAGAACCAGCTGGTAGAAAGGATCCTCATTATTCCAGTCAACCCAGCTGTAAATGGGTACAGATAATCAGGGAAAGATCAATGCCAAGAGTTTTGGTCAAGGATCTCTTGAATTGTCAGTAAGGAACTTGCTGTTGCTTTTATTTTTAGGTGAAGACCTTCCACTCTCCAGTAAAAGTGTTCAGTTCTGACTCTAAAGTTAGCAGTACAACTGTATCAGGAGATACCCCCAAATCTAAACATAGGCATCATTCAGTAAGTATTGGCAAGGCCATTTCTATAAAAACTGGTCTTTCTAGCCTTCCATTATGAATCTTTGTCCACATTGTGTCCATGAGGTCCCAACCTGCTGAACTTCTGGTGATTTTTGAATCAGATGCTTTTCGTGATTAATCCAAGCAACTAAACCTTTGATTGTGTTTGGAATTGGTGGTTTAAGATGGCGTCATTTTTTTTTTCCTGCTTATTCCAGAAATCAGATGCTGAAACTTCATCCAGTAAAAGTTCAGAAAAATCTTCATCTTCAAGTAAGAACACAAATATTTTCTTCAACATCATAGTAAATTTTGCAGGAATAACCACCATAGATCTTAATCATGCGTCGGCCATTTTGAATCCAGAAAGAGGCTCATAACGCAAGTGAACAAATCAAACGTAACCTTGTGTCACTGCAGTAACTGTAAAATTCCCACCTTGAGGTCTTTAAAGCCTCCTTCTCCAATCCTACGATTTCAAAGTCCTTTTCTCGCTGTTGTTCGGGTGTTTAGATGTTGTTACAATGGTGATGATGTCTGGTGATACACTTACTTTTCAGAGCATCACCACAGACATCACCACCACAAAGACAGCAAACATCGTGATAAGAGTCGTGATCACAGTCGTGATAAGGATCGCAAGGATCACAAAGACCGGCACAGGAGTCACAGCAAGGACCACAAGAGAAGTAAACATCACAAGCAGGAGGATAAGAAACCGTCAGAGAAGAAGGATGAAGGACCTGATCCTGTTCGTCTCAACGTGAGGAAGCATCTTCGTGATGCTCTGTCCAACAGGTATCTATATATAGTAACACTTGATTCTTTAGATGGTGTTTTAAGTAGTGCTTATAAAGACCATAAGTTGAGAGATTCGAATAGGGACACAGGGTCCTCAGTATTGTCAAAGACAATTCTTTCTTTTGTTCATTCGTTCATTCTTTCTTACATTCCTTAGAGCTTGTATTGAATGCATTCAACATTCATTCATTCATTCATTCATTCATTCATTCATTCATTCATTCATACTTTCTATCATTCCAGGGCAGAGCATGCTGATGATGTCCTACTGTCCAGTAGTGAAATAAAAGCTATCTCACTGTCTATTGAAGAAGAAATGTTCAACTATTTCAAAGACGTAGGTCACAAATACAGAAACAAGTACCGCAGTTTGATCTTCAACATTAAAGACACCAAAAATAACGTAAGTTTCCCTTTGAGTTGAACAAATGGTGGTCCTTGGCATTGAGCTTGGTTGAGGCATGAACCCAGCTGTAAATTGGTACAGATAATCTAGGAAAGATCAATACCAAGAGGTTTGGTCAAGGACCAGCTGGTAGAAAGGATCCTCTTTATTCCAGTCAACCCAGCTGTAAATGGGTACAGATAATCCGGGAAAGATCAATGCCAAGAGGTTTGACCAAGGACAAGCTGGTAGAAAGGATCCTCATTATTCCAGTCAACCCAGCTAATGGGTACAGATAATCTGGGAAAGATCAATACCAAGAAGTTTGGTCAAGGACCAGCCGATAGAATATACCAGCTATGGAAAGCCCCCAAAAGTGCCTGGCTTTAATTCAAATTTTTTTGCAGGGCTTGTTTCGAAAAATATTAAATGGTAAAATCAGAGCATCTAAACTAGTCCAGATGTCTTCAACAGAATTGGCCTCTAAAGAATTGGCAGAATGGAGAAAAATGGAAACTAAACACGTAAGGTTTTTAAACAAATAGTGGTTGTGGGTTCTTATCTTGGTCAGCCTGGAATAGTCATCTTTCCTCATTAATCCAGTGGACCTAGTTGTAAAAGGGTTTGGATAAGGCTAACCATGGACCAGTTAGTAGACAGGAGTAAAATTTCCCTCATTGTACACACTATCCATTTACATTCCCTCAATAAGATGCAAAAAAGTAAAAAGTAAAGCTTCATTTTATTTTCAGACTTTGAAGCTAATAGAAGAAACAGAAAAGAAAGCAGCTAAAGAAAGTTTTCATATTCGTAAAAAAACTCATAAAGGTGAAATAGAACTGGATGAAGACATGAGTAACCTCAGGGTACGTTTTTTAATTTTGTTTCGTTTCGTTTCGTTTCGTTTCGTTTCGTTTCGTTTCGTTTCGTTTCGTTTCGTTTCGTTTCATTTCGTTTCTATTTATTTATTTATCTATTTATTTATTTATTTATTTTTTTTTTATTTATTCATTTATCTATTTATCTATTCATTCATTCATTCATTCATTCATTCATTCATTCATTCATCTATCCATCCATCCATCCATTCATTCATTCATTCATTCATTCATTCATTCATTCATTCATTCATTCATTTATTTATTTATCTATTTATTTATTTACTTATTTATTTTTTTTTTTTCAGGATGAAGCTGAGAAGCCGACCCCAAATAAACCAAAGATTGAACCGAAAGCTGATTTACTCTCAGAGCTGATTGTGGACACCACAGACAAACACAGAATGCATCTCTTTGATCTCAATTGTAAAATATGTACTGGGAAACAAGCTCCCCCTTCTGAAGAATCTACGCCTAAAAAGGTAAGGTCCTTCCTCCTTTATGTGGTACACTGTGGTTCTTGCTATACCACTTCTGCTGTCCAGGCAAAATTTCCCTCATTGTAATTTATATGGCATTGCTTGTCCACGTTAGCTCAAAGCAGAAAAGCAGGATGTAAAACTCCATATCATTTCATATATCTTCCAGGTGACAATAGCCCACTCTGTGGATAAAGAAAAAGTGGAGGAAGCCACTAAAGAGACTACAGTGGACATCAAGAAAGCTGAACAAGTGGTGAAAGAAGCTCTTGCCAATGTTAAGAAAACGAAAGTAGAGCTGCCAGATTCTCCTGTCACAGTTCGGTAAGTTCTTTGGTGAGGGCTGTAGCTAGATCATACAGAGATGTTGGAATCCTATGACGTCGTTTGCTTGTTGCTCCTGAAGAAGCCATATGCCCTCGTCAATCCAGGTGATCCAGTTGGCATTGGGTATGTGGAAGAGCTAGGAAAGAAGATCGTGAAGAAGCTCCATATTATGAACACAGATTACCGGAACTTTTGTATTTTCAGGTCTCCAGATTCAGCATTGCAATCCGGTTTGGAGGAATCCAGAGCCAAGTTCAAACCATCAGGTCCAGTCATGTGGAAAGGATTCATTCACATGCAGGAGTTTAATAAGTTCTTTACATCAGCTTACAGAGTGTCTGGACCTACTGATGGAATGGTAAGACCCCTTTATCAGTCCATGGGTGGTGGGTACTGCCAAGTTTCCCAAGGTATAGCATGTATCATGATACAAAGGGTCAGGATATGATATGTACTGTCAAGGTGTTGAGTCAGCTGTAAATGGGTAATCTGGGAAAGATCAATACCAAGAGGTTTGCACAAGGTCCAGCTGGTAGAAAGGATCCTCATTAAACTAAGATGTTCTCCTTGTTTCTGATTTCAGAGTTTTGCTGATACTATTCAAATCTGTGGTCGAATCATTCCAGAGCAAATTTGGGATTATTTGTCAAAGATTAAGCAAGCTGGCACCAGGGTGAGTAAAAATAGATTTTGGCAGCTTCCAGGAATCTCAAACCCTTTCTTATTTGATGCTTTCTACATCACCTTTTGATCAATCAGACTTCAGGAAACAAATTTTTGGATTTTTGATATCTGATGCCATGCCAGTGGTTCGGAGAGTCAGCCAGGTCCCCATTTCATTTTATTGATGGTCTAAGGCTCAGGGTGTAAAACTCAATTTCTTCTCATTGTAGGATGTATGTGTGATAAGATTTATACCAGCAGGTGATGATGAAAAGACCTCCTATATTAACCTGTACTCCTATCTCAACTCTCGAGCACGCTGCGGGGTGGTTGGCAATTCTCCCAAGCAGGTCAAGGATTTCTACATCATCCCATTGGCTTCCCACAGCAGGATTCCCCAGACTCTTCTACCCTTTGATGGACCAGGTAAGCAAAGATCTCAGCGTTTTGTCTGTTGGAAGGAAATACCAAAATATTCAGAAAGGGAACCGAGGTTAACCATGTTCAACAGGCTATGAAATGGTATAGGTTCTGCCACTTCTCTGACAAAATTTCAGTAAGGCATGGCATTGTAGATCCTCATTTGCCCAAAAGAAGTAGAAAAGTAAGGTGCCCATCTCCATTCCATTTTAGTTTACTTTACTTTACTCAAACAGCTATTCTTTATAGTATCTTTCTTTTATTCCTTCTTTCATTCATTCTTCTCTCATTTCATTCCTTCATTCTATTCAATCCTTTCAGGTTTGGAAGAGAATAGACCACATATGTTAATAGGAGTCCTGGTTCGACAGAAATCCAAACCACCCAAATCTCCTTTAGTCAAAGAGGCCAGTAAATCTAAACATTCATCCAGTTCGTATTCTTCTGCTAGCTCATCTAAGAAACCAAGACTATCAGTGGATAGCCCATCATACAGTCACAAAGAGAAAAAGACCTCAATGTATGTACCCAAGGTGGTCACCCCTAGTTCCAATTCGAGCTCTGAACCAGGAACTCCTGCCGGTTACAAAGAAATTCAAGATCCCATCATCAAAGCGTATGCTATGGAAGAAGTGGTACCCATTGAAACAGAAGAGTCCTCGGCTAATGACACTGAAGGTGAGTCATCTTTGGATGAGAGAGTCCTCATGTATTTTTAATCAATATTCAGGTTGTGTTCCTCAAGGTACACCTTGAACTTGTTTATAATGTTGGAAACAAAAACCGTCCAAATTTCTTTGCGCGAATTGTGAATTTGTAGCTGAAGAAAATATAATTTTAACAAGCACAGTTCCAAGGTATCCAAAATTTTGATTTATTAGAAGTTTTTTACAAGTTCTTCAATTGTTAAAATGTTCTCTTTAGTGGTAAAGGATTTTATGTTTTGGTGATGGTAGCTTTTGGATCGTTGGTTTTTTGGGGGGTTAGGGAAAATGATTTTGGGGCAAATTTGTGAATCATATTTTTGTGTATTTCAGCTTATTCCCCTGGAAGAGTGGAAGAGGAGGAGGTTCCATATGATCCAGAATTTGAGGAAAACAACACATCCAGTGGACCATCATCAGCTATGGCCAGAGCAATGGAGCTGACATTGGCCACCATTGGAGAACCATCAGTCAGCTCTAAACCACCATCAGATGTCACCAAGTCCAATGTCACCATCAGTTTAAAGTCTTCAGTATCTCAATCTAAGCCAACCTCTTCTCAACCTTCCACCAGCAAGAAGGAGGTCAAATCCTGTCTCAAGAATCCGATTTCATCCAGCGGCTCTGAAGACCTGATTCTTTTACCACAAGATACACCATCATCTGCAGCAATACCATCAACATCTGGAGCATCCACATCCCATCATCATCAGCATCAGCATCAGCATCATTCCAAACCAGGCATCAACATAGAGAAACTTGTCCAGCAGATTGCAAACAGCACCAACCGATCAGAGATAACGGCATTAATGGTGACAGCCCTGGCTGCATCCAAAGATGCAACAGATCAGCAAAAAGTTTTGGCTGATTTAACTCGTAAAGTCGAGGAACAGAAAAAGTTGTTGGCCAAGAAAAAGGCTGAAATTGAAAGTGTACGAGCATCAACTATAGCTTTAACTGCTACAGCTTCATCATTGTCCACAGCATCACAACCCGCAGTCACCCATGTAACTGAATCACCAGAAAAGCAGAGGACCTCCTCAGTCCAAAAGACTCCACCAAAAGTCGACTATGTGGTTGCTGTGAAGCACTCCAAACATGATGCAAAGGAAAATTCAACCAAAAAGGTTGATTCGAAACCAGAGGAAAAAGACTCAAAAGATGCTGTTACTTCAGCTGCACCCATTCTCCCCGTGACTCCAATAACAACCAAGGAGCTTGATTCTATCCAAATCAGCAAAGCGTTGGATGCTCTGAAAACCACCAAGATGCTGGACAATCTGGTATCAGTGTTCAAATCCACACAATCCAAAACACCTGTGGCCACATCTGCAACACCGTTACCCATTGAAGCGGAAGTTGAAGCCAAAGCTGAGAGTATATCTGTGTCTGCCATGAAGCCACATGAGATGCCCTTGGCTCTTCAAGCTCTCATGAAAGATGTCATGGGCCATGGGTCAGAGTCTGGAATTAAATCCAAGAAGATCCAAAAGGAGAAGGAGAAGAAGACAGAAGAACCCAAATCTGATTTGGAAGAAGACAAAGACTCCTTGGCTATTTTCAAAGGAGTCAACAGACGGGAGAAGAATGTCATCCCTGGTTTAGATGATCTTCCCATAGCTTCTGTACTAATTGATGTAAAGGTGAGGGAATCGGTAGCTGCCAGTGACGGGGAATCCTCCGCAAGTGACACCCAAACCTCTACGGACGAGGCGAAATTGGACAAAGACTACCGAAGTGAGAAGAAATCAGATATCATTGACATAAGTTTGGACAAAGACGATCGACAAGCACACTCTTTGGATAAGGATGACAGGAAGACTCACTCGCTTGATAAAGATGACAGAATTGTCCGTGGTATGCTTCCCAGATTTATTCCCACTCAGTCTAAAAAGGATTGGGCAGCTCCAGCTACGACATCCGAGCAAGTTGCAACCTGGCCAACAACTACCGATGTGGATCACAGAAAGTTTCCACAAGCTGTTACCGTTAATGTGAGCACGCCTCAACCTCCAACAAACGCTCCTCCAGTTGCAAAAGAAGGGAAATTCCGACCAGTTGGTGTTCCTAAAACTGAGGAGATGAACGAAGACGTTGACCATAGGAAGCTGGACGGACCAATGAGACCAATCGGGGGATCGTCAGACCCATTTGGGTTCGGAACTCAGGACGTGGATATGAGACGGCCACCAACTGGTCAGGCGCCTCTGCTTCCACCTCCCCTGCCGCCAGTCTCAAATGCTGGCCCCAGACCCTTGCTAAGCACTCCAGTATTTCAAGGTAACCAACCCCCTTTCAGGCCTCCGTTTCCAGCAGGTGACCAGAGATTCCGAGCTCCAGGACCAGAGAGCACCATGAAGCGTGGACCACCTTTTCAACCGACGTTATCAGACGGAGAACCCAGCGACAAGAGACCAAGATTCCCGGGAACTGGTCCTGGATTCAGACAACCATTGATGAGGCCGCCAGCACCACCAGGAACTGAACCTATAACGCTCATGCCACCTGGCATGCCACCTCTCCCTAGTGAACCGCTTCTTCCTCCTCCCTTGCCCCCGCTTCCCTCGGAGACTGTTCAGGATAAAGATTTACGAGGGGCAGGTGGTGATACGTCGCGATTCGGGAACGGGAATAGACAATCTAGTCCACAACTGGAGGATCGTGATCGATTCGGGCATCATCATCGTCGTCAACACGATCGATATCACAATCGCGATAAAGACTATCGATCACGAAATAGAAATCGGAGACGGTGATGATTCGAAGTGTTTTTAAATATCTGTCGGCTTGCCCATTCGTTGAATCTGAAAAGACTTCGGGAAAATCATTCAATAACTAAGTAAGCAGATCTTGCGTTATCTGATGATTGAATTTTCCCAAGGAACTTTTCAGATTCATCCAATGACAAAGAGTCGCCAATCGTGTTATATGTAGTGCTTAGTGTATAGTTATCATCACCCCTCACGATCATCCACGATCTCCTCATTATTATTTTCATTAACCATAGAAATCAACGCATTTATCAGGAGATGGTCCTCTCTATTTTATGGACCTCTTATTTTCTCTCGGGTTCCGAAGATCGGATACAAGCTGTTCGCCAATCTGATGGGCATTAGCTACTGTAGTTTAGACACCACAGATTAGTTAGGATGACATCGTCATCATAACACTCGGTGCAACTTTCTTCTTAGTCTGTAGGTGCCACTGTTCTCGTGAAATTTCCCCCATTGCACATAGTGGAGGGATAAGAGAATGAATGAAGGTACGTAAAATACTAGGCATTGCCAATTTTTTCCCATGCATATGCATTTTGGAACGGGTCGTAGATGTTCATCTAGGTCTTGAAAGTATCGGCTTCATCGTCATCATTAAATAGGACCCAGTTGTTCCTAGAGTAGATGGGCTGGCAATGAATCAAGTAAAAGCTGCAAACACCGGTATACCATATGGGCATTTTGTAACCGGCATAGATGCTTCAGTCATTAAGGCACCATCACCATCTTCACCGTCGTCATCAAGAGGATCCAATTGTTCCCTGAAGTATTTTTTTCTGGTACGGAATCGTGTAGATGTTGCATTTCACCAAGTAATCGCATTTTTTACTGTATATGTTTTGGTTTTTTATATTATTGTTATGTATATTATCGTATTCACTAGAAAATTCACCAATTTGTCTGCCCGCAATCCAGGGAAAATGGTCTCCTTTCCGCTACGACTTTGATTGGGTTTAAGCAGTATTTGGACAGACTCTCAGATCTGTCTCATCCAATATTGATATTATAGCTCCTTAGGGTCAATAAGTCAGAGTTTCGCCGGTCTATCTGCACCTGAATCTTCTGAGCTAGGTAACTCCCCTGACCGGTAATTGGGTTTAATCAGTATTGAGACTCTTGGGTCCGCCTCATCCGATATTGATATTATATTAAAACTGCATAGGGTCAGTAAGTTCGATGCAATCGTAATTTTATTCCACTGCTAAAGACCATTGTAAGACCCACTATTTTGTTAGATGAAACTTAAAATTTTATCTTTTTGGCCAAGAGTTTTCAGTATTTTTCTTTCGGGGTCCTTGATCAATTGCATTCTCCCCCAACAAATTTCAAAATTGCCCCAGACTTAAAATAAGACAATCTCTTGTATGTACTTCGGATAGTATTCTGTAATTGTTGAATTGTGTACAGTTGTATATTTAATTATGGATAAAATTTATTCTAAATCTTCCCGGATCTTATCTTTGTACCAAGTTCTGGTGGGTGCTTGGGGAGTTGGATCGATGGGGATGGGTCTAACCTACCACTGTGTATTACTGTGAAGCCCTGGTTCGCCATCTCGGGATTCAATTTGGGTATTGAATATATATCTAGTTTTTGTATTTATACCAAGTTCTGGTGGGTGCTTGGCGGGGTTGGATCGAAGGGGATTGGTCTAACTTACCACTGTGTATTACATAGAGGCCATGGTTAGCCATTTTAGGGCTCGATTAGGGTCTTTTAAATCTAGTCATTGTACTCAAGGGTTGGGCAATTCATTATGGGAAAGGGTTCTGGTAATGCTGGTAAAAGTGTTCGTCTTGCCACTGCTACTGGGTATCACCAAAGGTCGATGGGTCTGACATCGGAAGGGAATCTTTTCGATCGAACGGAACAATAATTGGGGGGAGGCTTCGCTGGTGGTTAAAGCTACACTGGAATTTCCTATCCGTCAAGGCTAAAACTTTTCTCTCCTTTGCGGTTGTGGCTTTCCTACCGTTGCTTAGCGCTCTGAACTTCTTTTGGGAATTAGAATCTTGGTCCTCATGGGAAGGGGACATGGGTGGAAGCCCAAATGCGGTGAGGTCACAACCTTGATTAGGGGTACGGATACCTTTCGTATAACCTTACACAACTAATTTTCATTTCTCCGTATTTAATATCGTTCACAGCATTAAAAAAAATATACACTACAAAATCGGGGTCTAAAAGTCTTTTACTTTATCACGAAAACATGACGAGTTACTGCCCTTGACAACTTGATACCATCTTCAAACATTATTGGGATCTGAAAAGAAAAATCAGCTTTTGAAACGAAACTTATTCCTGGTCTGGATGTTAAAATGGGCGGTAATTTAATGTGGCAGATGCTTTAAGACCTGCTAGTGCTTCCAAGAGTCCGTCCGGGTTAGGTTTTAAACTCCCCTCACCTACATGTGTTGATCACATAAACGCACAAAGCGTCAAATTCAAGATGCAAGTGCTTTTAGTTAAGGCATTACTTCAAGAGCATCTGAGATGTACTTAACTTACGAAAAACTTCTAGGGTGCGGTGGTTTAATCTGTCAAAGCATCAGCATCTACAAGCCGAACCCAGTAGCTCAACTACCATAGGGACTGGTTGAACCAGTTCCACCGGTCCCCACGCCAGAAAAAAGAAGATGTTGGAGAGCCTATCTTAAAGAAATTCCCTCGGGAGCGGACCCAACCAACCTCAATCCATGGTTCCCCGCTTATCTAGTTGAGCCACGGGAGGAATCAAAGACGACTCGTTACTCTTTGACGAACTGTGCGAATCCAACTAAAAGAACCACTTACACTCGCTTATACAGCCGTTTTTTTCGCCGCTGGTTTGGCAGCTGCGGCGGGCCGAGCGCCTCTCTTTCTGGCATAATACCGCTGTGCTCGTTGATACCACGCATAGTACTTCCTCAACCAGGTATTGTAATTCTGACGAGCTCGTCCCTGTTGTCTCTGTCGCATTCGTTTACCAACATCTTCACCAGGTTCACCTATTAAAAGATACAACGTTATTATCAAGTTAATATTGATCTTTCCCAGATTATCCGTACCCATTTACAGCTGGGTTGACTGGCATAATGAGGATCCTTTCTACCAACTGGTCCTTGACCAAAACCTATTGGTATTGATCTTTCCTGGATTATCTGTACCCATTTACAGCTGGGTCGAATGGAATAATGAGGAAAGTTGGCATATTCAAGATCATCAGACTTTCACTCGCCAACCGAGATGAGAACCAACGACGACATTTTTTTCAAAGTAATCAAGCCAATGCCGTTAGGTAATGATTCAAACGTTCTAACCGACTCTGCTACATCCTGTTCTCAAAGGTGAAGCTAGTAGTTCTTACCAATTGGAAGACCTAATCTTCTTTTCCTGGCCCGCTTTCCTGGATCTTCACCAACCTCGCCCAAAGGCATAACCTGTCTCTTATGTCGTCTTAATAAGGCTTGACCAACTCCGGACATGTTGCCATTCGTGACTGCTTTAGCTCCTGCTCCTTTTGGTAGACCTTTGGATAGAAGTTCATAAATTGGTTCTCCTAAAGCCTGGCGGGTCTGCAGCCGCTTCATCAGAACTCCCAACATGGCGACTTCAGTCAGCGCAGTTTGGTCAGCAGATACCAGAATGTCGAAGCATTCCCTCAGATTGTTGGATTCTTTTGTAGTGGCTAAGATTTCATCTTTGGACCCATAAGCTTCGATGTCCACCCTGAAAATAGAAGATGAAGACGCTAATGACGAATATGCAGTAAAGATCTTTGCTATCTCTATACCTCTTAATCTATTTCTGGTATACAGTCGGTGCCAGGAGAGGACATTGTCCATTGCTAGCCAGTACAACCTTTGAGTCCAACATTGATCGTAAATTTGTCTTAACAATCCTCGGTCACTAGATACCACTTTGCGATTATGTTTTCAAGAGGGTTTGCTTTTTCGGAGAACTCAGAACAGAATCAGCTGTCCAAAGGTGCCAAAAGACTTGCGATGCATTGTGCCACTGATTGCACTCTCCAATTACAATCAAATCAAATCGCTGTATTTACTTCCATGATGCAAGACAAGTAATAGCTTGTCATTGTAGAGATGTTAAAAAGTGTGACAGACAGCATAATGTTAACTGCGTCTCTTGTACATGGAATGAATTATATTCTTGCGTTTTTATTACAATGGACCTGTCAAATAGGACAGTGACAGACAGGTTTCATTTTTAAAAAAATAGGACACATAAAACTGCCAACTGCTTGATGATCTAAAAAACACAAATGACGTTTTTACTGCAGTCGATGGATGACTGTGATGGTGATGATGATGACACTCTTCCAGTTGTCCTTGGGCTTGATGTTTCATTAGACGAGTTTTGAAGGGTGGTGAGCACTACCCGAAAAATATGATAATAAAGACCATTTCCCGAAAGAGCACTGGGTTCCATAGAAGATCCCCCTTCACCACAACTATCTTACGCCTTTCTGAAGTTATCCCCGCATTTTTTTCTTTTCTGAATGGTCTGATTAGACGGTTTATGAGCATTTTTTCTTACGTCCGAGAAATTATTGACCTGCAACTCGACATGCAACAATGGAAAGGTCACCTTTCCTCTGTATTTTAGTCATCCGATCCGTAAATGGGTACGGGTAGTCCTGAAAAGGTCATTTGCAAAATGTTTGTCCTGGTTTGTCCTCCGAACTTGTCATTGCGTCTAGAAACTCAATCGGAAGATTTTGCTGCATGGACACTCCAAGATGAACACAAGTCAATTCGAAGCAACCAGTTCTTCAGAAAAGACACCTTTCTTCCGTCGGACCTGAATTGGATTGTGGATCTAAGCATCTCGTCTGAGCGTAACATTACAACTTTTCTTGGGTGCTTTCATGGTGGTGATTACGATGTCCCAGCAGTCGCCAATTGCTCAATATGTCAGTCGAAAAAATAACCAAAAAGTCCGCAAGATGTGAAAAGGCTGTCCTTAAAATGAAAGAACCAGGGTTTCTTTTGCAATCCAAATACTCCAAGCTCTTTTGTAACATATTGGAACAAATAAAAGATCTTACCCTAACACCCGGCATCGCTCTATGGCTTCCAAAACTGGAATAGCAGACTTCTTCATAGCGGGCAAAGCCCCGGCGACCAGCACCAAACTTAATAAGAAAAGCACGTACATGATTCTCGGCCGGGCTCCTCGCCTACTCTGAGAGGTGCGCGGTGTAATTATTAATTTTATTCTCCCTGGAAGAATTTTTCTTAAAGGGATATTTACCTCTAATCTCCAAAAGCTTCTGGTCGAATCCTCCCGGGCTTCAACCAATGTGGTTTAAAATTCTACTAGAGTTGGAAAAAAGAAAAAAAAAAGGGCGTGCTAATAGTGCAAATGGAATTCGAGCGGAAGTGACGACCATCCTTGTGGAAACGATCATAAAGGTTCTTTCACACCAGTTGCGTCTGGTGGCGAATAAGAACAGCGCTGTAAGTTGAAAATCGCAACCATACGCAAGTGGTAGGCTAATCGCTTTGGCGCGAAGGCACCTGATGGCGATCGGTAATCTTTCAGAACACGATCATGCGACGTCATGATTTCGTTCATCCAAAAAATCCAAAAATTCATTTTGATGCGTCTTATAGAACGCATAGCTCCAAGTATTTAAGTAAACAAAATAGACGACTGAATGCCTTTAAATGGATGTGAAAGTCAAACCGAGCATCAATTATGCAGCGAACATTGTCAACTCGAGCTATTTTAAGCTTCCTAAAAAAAACGGTCTTATTTTTAAATGTGTCCATCAGCAATAAACAGATTTTTATTAATGCTCATTTCCTGCTTAAGTCCGTGTCACACAAGTCGTTAGATTTTAAACTGCACGCAACGCTAGGTCATTGCGTTTTGTTCATACATTTGAACGATTTGTCCGACGTAAATAGTTTGACTGTTTGCATCGTTGGTATGAACGACCAGTGACATAAATCGTGTGTCCGACCTACAATTCGTAAGGCAGAATTTGTTGGTAGGCTAATGTACGACCTTTCCGACTAAATCGTTTGTTTCTATGAACGACCAATACGACAAAAATCGTTTCTTTGTACGAAAGTCGTGTCTTGTCTGTGCGCGTATGACAATCTGTGTTTGAAATTGGTTCTTGGTACATACGATTAATACGACTTGATTCGTTTTTTGTCAGCGAGTAGGATCATTGCATCCCATCATGTTCGAACGATCAGAACGACAAAAATGGTTTGTTTGTACATTATTAAGACATACATGGTTCATTCGAACGATCAATACAAATTCCGAAAAACATTGTTTGTCAGTATGCACGTACGAATTTTACCACATCGTCCTTTTCTTTTCCCAACTCGACAACCGACTTTTACGCTTCTATGCAGTGTCATAGCCGCATTATTTTTTTTTCACTGAGATTTCCAGTTTAACTGAAGAAAACAATTAATAATTTTAAAACTGACGTTTACAGAGCGATGTTTAGACGATAAATACTTATAAACTTAATGAAATGGAGTTTTTATTGGCGTAATAATGGTTTTAACTATTATTGTCGGTGGTAAATTATTACTCGCGTCCATGTCGTGACTCAAAATAAACCGATTAATATTCTAGGTTCGAAGGTCGCCTAATTTAAGAGTTTCTGAAATGAAACCGAAATTTGACATGGATTTATAGGTTAAGAAGTAGGGGAACGACTTCTCGTACATTTAATGTCACCCAAAGCTCTTTTGACTCGCCAATGTTATTGCCCTTGATAATCTGAAAGAAGTGCTGCGAATTTCGTACATAAAATCTCTTTTGCACTTCTACAAAGTTATTGCCCTTGACAATCGGGAGACCTTCTCAACACGGAGTGGGAACAAGTAATGTCACCCAAATCTCTTTTGACTTATCAACAGTTATTGCCCTTGGCTATCTAAATATTGGAAAGTGTGCACGTATGTTCCCCTTAGCTTTGGGACCTGTGGTATGGCTTCCATATGCAAGGAGAGGAGAATCGATTGTCTGTGTATACGATGGTCCATATTAGATTCCCCGTTGATGCATCAATACTGCACGAGCGGTCGGAAGTGGAGCACACAACAAAAACGAATGTAAGATGGGAAACGAAATCGTTTATTAGAAAGTATCAAAGGTAAAAAAATGATAATGGAATTATCGAAAATTTCGAAAAAAGGCAATTTTCATAAATTTAAATGGCTGGCATGCCCAGCCCAAAGTTCCATTTTTGTGCCTTTTTTAGGATTGATCTCAAAGGCTTTCCCAGATTATGTTTACAATTGACAATTTGGCATCCACATGCAAGCATTTATGGACACGTCAAAACCTGTGTTACCAGGACATGCTAAATGATACCGAGTGTACTTCCTGCCTGTGGGAACGCAGTAATAGAAATTGTGGCAGTTGTTGGGATCGGGATGTGGGCCTGGTCCTGTCTGTGTACATTTGATAGGTTCCCCAACTGGTAGGATCGCTGGTTCTTGATCTGAAATTGGAAAATTGATCTTCGTACAGACTCAACGAGGTGCAAAGGTTTCTCCTTATTGGGTCCAGGACAAATCAAAAGCAGCTAAGGATCAAATAGTTCGGATGCATTTCAGCTTCTTCGAGCCAAAATGCAAAGGCAGTTGAGTAGAGATTCCGCTCATGGCGGGATTTCTACTGTTGCATTTCCCATAAAGTGGGATAGTGGGATTGAAAACAGCAATTGACTTACTTCTTCGTGCTGGTGGTCGTTGTGCTGCAGGTTGGTTGACCGGTTGTGGTTGAGGTTTGGGTGGTTGAAATTTGGGATCAGGCTTTGGGAATGGTGGTTTGTTGTCTAAAACGGATATAGGGATTTCGCCTGATCCGTCTTCGGGTTTTGTGTACTTCAACCTCAGTGTTGGCAACGGCGTCAAGTTTGGTTTGATGATTTTGTTGATGGCTGTCAGGATCGGGTTCATACCTTCTCCACAACTACCACTGAAGTCATCAAGATCCACCGACCAAACGAAGGCGCCTCCCAAATTGTTGTCTCTTATGTACCGAGCCTGTAAAGAGAAGGTAGTAAGGTGCAGCGTATTTTGGTTGCCACAATCAGAAAGAATTCCAACGTTGCCATTACCATAGATCCACTGTAGAAGCTTGGTGTTCACTTAGGTCTTCATCAGTCCATAAAGGTGGCGAGACGAATACATTGTATTGCCCAAGCTTTACATGGCGAAGAATACCTGTCTTACCTTAATGGTGATGCTCCTTGGATTATCATATCCGACCCACTGGTCACCACCAAAAGCGTACGGTGATTGTTGTTCTTCTATCCATACTGACGTCCACCCTTTATACTTAATCTTCTCACAGATCTGTACGGAAAATAAGAATGGTGGTGAAGATTTTCCTTAGACCGGGCGATCAGTGGTAAACAGAGCATCTCTTGGTGGTTCTGGCGTTCTGGAGCTGAACATTTGCATCTTCTTCCTATCCAAAATCACTTTGCCATGCGAGAAAATGATATCTTACGAAGCCAAGATGAAGCAACTCTTCGTTGCACCGATGAAGAAGAAGAAGAACTACGACGACAACCAAAACGGAGTGGGGTGGAATGAGAGAATTTGTTGCCCTGAGAGCAAACGTTACCTACATGTGACAATCGATTTACACGTTGCATGAGATGGAAGACCGTGATTCTTGTACTCACCTCGAAGTATGAGAGAACTCCTTTCTGTGCAGTGTATTCACCAGGACGACCTCCGCTAACAGCTGGTGCTCCCACACCGTTCTGCCAAGGGTTCTTCAGGGTATAGCTCATACCATAGGTTCCCAGTCCGACAATCAGTCTTTCTTTCGGCATACCTTGACTCAACCAAAAGTTGATGGACCAGATCTAAAATAGTAGATGAAGGCAGATCCTAAGCAATTTCGGCAGTTTGGAACATGGTTTGTTCCTGATTAAAACCTCTGGTAAGGCAGGTCTTCAACCATTCCAGTTGCGTTTTACTGGTTTTTTGGGGGTAGCCAGTGGACCTTCTTTGATAATTCTGTGGCGCCCCACTACCTTATGATTCATTGATGCTTTCCCCTTTGCCACTTACCTGATTGAGTTCCAGCTTCTTGCCTTTATCAATTTTATTTGGATACAGACTGCTATGATGCCCCGTTGTATTTTCCCATTGCCCATGATAGTTGTAGGTCATCAGTAACATATAGTCGATAGATCTGAAACAAAAGTAGCATTCTTGATGCCATCATCATCTCTTGCTCTTGCTTTTGGCATCATTCAGGAACGACGTCCAAGCGTCCGATGGCTTAAAATAGTGGTGAACCGTGTGTTCTGCTTTGATATTATACCAAGGGCAGTGGTACTTCGCAGGCTTTCCTCCTCCCCGCTGTTAAAAACTTAACCAACATTAAAAGATTCACCACTCTTCCTATACTCGCGTACCCTCTCGGTACAATTGGTCACCATGGGTAACTATTTAAAGCGCGGTTATGAAATTCACGTAATACTTACTGGATAACCTCGGCTGGTTCATAAGAAGCTTCGATGTAGTGTCTTCCGACTGCTGTTGCTAAGGTCAACAATAGCTTCTCTCTTCCAGTCATTAGTGATTCTTCTAAAAAAGCTCTTTGTAACATCTGAAAGAATCATATGCGTTAAAACACCTTTCGTGTTAGTCCAGTTATTATGGATGATGTTGCTCTTCGTTCAGGAACACCTGACACACTGTGCGATCAGGTTTGTCAACTCGACATTCCTAAATAACAGTTCGCCGCATAATCGATTAGAAACACATGTTATCACTTTGCGAATTGTGCTGTCAGCTTTAACGTCCTTATAGCTAATCTGGAAATCTCAACCGGTTCGGCGTCCCTTCAAAAGATACCACAAAGCTTGAATTCATACATTTATTATCATAGCTATCTGTTGTGGAACACCTGGTGCCAATATGCGTTTGGTTTATCGGCTAGGCATTCCTTTCAGGAAGACCATATACAGTATCAAGGAAGTTAAGTAAACCCCCGGTGCACCTACCCTCATGAGACTAGAGAACCTTTGCTTGTCATCTGGTGGACTACCACGTACTCCGGGGAACTCCCAATCCATATCCATTCCATCAAAATTATACTTCCTCAGGAACTCCACCACGTTCCTCACCCAGATTCTCCTGGAATTCGTGTCCTTCACGACCTGGACGAACGGTTTAGACCCAAACGTCCATCCTCCTACGGCCATGAGCACTTTCAATCCAGGTCTTAACTGCTTGAGGCCGGTAGTCTGGGCGTAGAGTCCTGAAATTACGTGCTAGAGTTATTGCCCTTGTCCGTAAGTCTGTTTTGAATCCGAAATTGCATTAGCAGTTCGGTGGTACATGGCGTCCAGTTGATTCAATCCAAATTTGTTTGTTCGCAATCAATTTTCTCAATCTACATCATTCAGAATCCAATATGGCCGCAAACAAAATGGCTGCCACTGTAGTTTAATGTATTTCTTTCTAACGAAGCCACAAACTTCGGCACATCGAATTACTAATACAGTTATAATGCATATACTGTCACAATTCGACGTAGACCATTTTGAATATTAAAATTGTGCAGACGAAAGCAAAGTAAAGCATCACTTACCATTGGGACCTAGATCATTGTCATGGGTAGGTCCTAACTCTAAGTTGGGAAGGACATTGACAAAGGCGAAGATGAGATGAGTGCATTGTTTTATATCGACATTACTTGGTAAGAATCGTGCGATACTCCCTTGTCGATATATCGAATCCGTACTGTAGTAGCAGAATGTCTTCGTTCCTGTAAGTAAAGGCAAAATGTGTAGTCTCTATCATCCAGAGAAGTATATCTCATCGAAGACAGGATGAGTCTTGGTGTGAGAGACTACAAAATGTTATCTCTTTGGTTTGGTGATTTGAAAATTTTCTCATCTCCCAAAGTAACTGTTATTTTATGACGTACGCTCCTGTACTGGCCAGACTAATTCTTTGGATGCGTTTGAATTTGTGAATATTTCATTATATATCCTAAATTCTTATTGGTCGCTTTACAATTCCTAACTGCAATATAGACCAATCAGTCTTATATATTGATTTAAGAATGCATGATTGAGTTGACCCAGGGTGATGGATAGCAACGAAATCCTGCCATATATACGAACGTAGATCAAAATTTTGAACTGACCTGATATTGTGTATATAAGACAGGACAATATTAGTCCAGTGTAGATGTGAAACATGTTCCCTTTTTTCTGCTGAAAAAAAATATGAAAGCGGATGCAGTTTCTTTTTTGGGGTTTCCAATGGTCGGGGAATATCTATACGCCGTCCATAGTGCCTGTATATTCAATTTTTTTTTTTTGATCAACGTATACCCTTACTCGATTTCGACTCTTTAATTTTTTTATGTAGCGAGAGAAGAAAAATTTGCAAAAACCGTTGCATAACCAGGATTTCTAAGAAGGCGAACAATTGCGCCCCATTGAAAAACAGTTGAAATTAAGAAAACGCAGTAGACCTACCTTAGCCCCGTCCGTGTTCTTTAAGAAAAATTCAATCAACGCTACACGAGGCACCTCTCAATGAGTTTTTTAATTACTGGATTAAAGCCTCTATTCTAATCGTGTGGGGGTTTAGGATTGATGTGCTCTATTACTGGTTCGTGACTTTACTCTTCTGTATCTTTTAATCAACCAATCCATGGTATTGAGTACTACTGTGCGTTCTATTGATTGTTCCAAGGTTTTAATTCCTTTGCAGCATCACTGGTGTATTCGATTCATGTTCCTCGATGCACCAACAGTGTTATCATTTGCCATTTCTATTGATTGTTCTACACCTTCAATTTCCATGAAGCATTATCTATGTTCTATTTGTTGTTCCCCTTCACCAAGTCAAATGGTGCGTTCTATTACTTGTTCCAGTGCGCCAATTTCATTGCAGCTTTGAGAGTGTGTTACGTTGCTCGTTTCGGACATAACTCCAACCTGTGTTCGTGTGTATGCACCTTTGATAGATTTGTTCTCCCATCTGGTGGTGCGAATATCTTAACAATTTTCCCCAAAATGAGGACTCCGGCATTTGAATTAAATCAAGTTTTACATTATTTTATCAATTCATGGATTAATGTTTTCGGGGAACGGGTAAGGAAATACATTCGAACCCACCCTTAAGTGGTATAATTGTATATACTTTGAGGTTTCAAGAACACACTGTGAGTTCGATTTATGTACCTTGTTTAAATTGGTTTAAGCAATTAGTGTGATTTTTTTCGTCTTTGTTTAATTAGAGACGTGGGACATGACTAGAATGTGAATTAGAAAAACTGCAAAGGTTTCCTTCGAATATATTCAGGTGAATTTATTTTTCTTGGACAAATTTTACAACTGAATTTTTAACAAGACTTATTAAATGGAAATTGAAAAATGTGCGCTAAGCCAATGTCGCTGTTAGAAGCAATTCTTATTTATTCTTTGGCCATTTCGTACGTGCATATGCACGCACGGTATATATATTAAATTGATTTCCAATCGAGAAATAGTAAGCCAATGCTATTGTCCTGGCAAAATTACCCCCATTGCAGACTGCAGGGCGTTGCCCTACTTCATTAGCTCTGTAAGGTGCAGAAGAGTAGGACGTAAAACTCCTTTCATTTCTATTATTTCTTAATTGATTTCCAGAAAAAAAAGATTAAAAACAAGGCCAATCAGATAGGCCTACTTATTTTCATTTTTTGATCTTCCTTCATAGACTAGAAGCTGATATCGCATTCGGCATTCTTCGGCAGTTCTCGTAAGCTAAATCTGTTGCAGGGCGCTAGCGCAACTTTCGCGGTAGACCGTTTGGCTGATATAAAAGATTTTAAAAAATATACCCCAGCCAAACAGTGTATAAATTCCACAATAGAGGTCTACATTGTGTCCCGCCATTGACGACAGGTTCGTGTCAAGTCTGCACAAACATAGAGGGCGTTCTTCACACTCTCTAGCCAATCACAATATCAATAGAATGTGACGTAGTCATTTGACCTATGTGACCTCCACGTTAATATGTCAGTCAATAAATACAAAGCCCATTGTGGTCATTTGGCCTTTTAATGACCAGTCGCTGTTGCTATTTAAAAAGTTTAACGTTGAAAGATAGACACAAATTGTTGATATTGTGTCTTCTATTTTATTGTGACAAATAATTTGTGGGTGGACTCTAACTTTAATCGAGGAAGGTTGAATCAAAATAACGTACAATAGATATTGCGCACAGAATTTGGGAGAATCAGCTTAGAGGACATCTTTAATAAAGGGGAAAGAGGACAGGAAGAAGAGAAAGTAAAAAGAGACAGCGAGTCCAGGAAAAGAAGACAAACCGGGAAGTAGAGAGAAAGAAGAGACAGTGAGAGAAGAGACAGTGAGGGGACGTAGAGAGAAAGGAAGAAGAGACAGTGAGGGGACGTAGAGAGAAAGGAAGAAGAGAAAAGAAGAAGAGACAGTGAGGGGAAGTGGAGAGAAAGGAAGAAGATACAGTGAGGGGAAGTAGAGTGAAAGGAAGAAGAGAGAAAGGGGAGTGAGGGGAAGTCGGTAGCTGGAAAGAAGAGAAGACTTGGGAATTTAAAAGGAAGGCATAGTTGTAGGGAATTACAGGAAGGAAGACGAATGAGGGAAGTAGGAAGAACGATATGTAGAAGAGACGGTTAAGGAGATAGTAGAGGGACGTGTGAAAAAGAGGGCGAAGCAATAGGGGTATTCTCTTAAATTGAGAGATACGTATTGTACCTCCGTGCAATGCTTCGAATTACAGTACATCGAAGACTTATTACGGATGGGTGTTGTCCATCTCTCTGACCGCTTTGATATTTTCCAACTGCCCCGACTAAAATACTATATAAATAATATTCACAAGTTATCTCAGTGGTCAAATAAAACAATTTCCAAATGCAGAGAGTTCTTTCCCTTGGTGTAAAACGTATATAAAACGTTACCAATTAAATTTAAAAATTTGATTCCTTTTATCTTAAAAATTCGGTTACTATTCAAAACGTTCGGTTTACATTTTTTTCCTTAATGCATGGTTTGAGCCGACCGAAAAGTATGTGTTGTGCCTAAATTTGGGTGAAAATCATTGAAAAAACCAGTTTTAAAAGGCCTTTGCTGTTTTGGGGTTTCTTAAATTTATTTTTCAAGGGAAGTAACTCCTCCATAAAAACGAAAAATGACTCTTTATAAATAGTTTCTGGCCTTAATGCATGCACGATACCCCCGCCCCCTCACAACACCCCCTCCCCCGGCGCCCACCCCCTAAACTTGTGTTAAATTAATGAAAAAACGAGTTTTAAACGGCTTTTTTCAGTTTTCGGGATATCTGAAAATTTATTTCCCAAGGGAAGTAACTCCTCCATTAAAAATAGATTGACTCTTCAATTTTGAAGACGGAAAAGTGAAAGAGTACGTGTCGAAAGGAGAAAGCATGAAGTGTTTTGACGCTTTGAAAATGGATCTTTCGTGGTTTTCTGTGTTGGTTTTGGCCTTTTTCGAAATCATAGCCGCATCAGGTGTGTATTTTTTCTTCCATTTTATGAAATTTATGTGTACTTTTCCCTAATTATGATAATTTCATTCATTTTTTGACTGATTCGTAACCACAACAACTCAGCATCAAATTCAATGTTTACGTTTACGTTTTGCCCCACCCCACTCAGTTTTTCTAGACTAGTTAACTTCTTGCCAGTCGTCCCACCCCACTTCTCTCAGTTTTTGAAGAGACTATCTTTTTGACTTCTGCTTTTCTTCCAAGAAAAGAAACGTTCTGTGTTATTATTTTGCAAGAGCAAAAAAAAAAAACACTCTCAACAGTGCTATAAGGTTATTCACTAAATAAATAGACAAATAACACATAAGCCATGAGGAGTTCAGGTCATTTTTTCTTAAATTTAAGTCTAAGGGTCTGTAGGAAGATTCTACTCAAGATAAATGTTAAGAATTAATTCCAAGATATTCTGTTGTTGTAGATATGAATTATGAGTTTGTAACATGTGGCTCAGTTCTGAAATTGATGAATCAACAGCATCAAGTACGCCTTCATTCTCATGATGTTAAATATGGCTCTGGTAGTGGTCAACAGGTAGGCCTACATTAATTCTGTCTCCATTGTAATCTAACAAGTTTTTTCATCAATGGGGTTCCAATGACATTATTAAAACCAATCAAAGCGTGTTATCTAGAACCCATTTTGCTGTAGTGGGTATCACATTAGGTCCTTCACAATTAGTGACGTCATCAAACACTTAATTTTAGGGTAATTGCAGGAACCACAGACGTCAGATTAAAAATTGAAATGGTCCCTGATACACATAAAAAATTTAGAAAACCTCTTTACAATCTCTGATTTGTGATGTGTGTATTTCAGTCAGTGACTGGTGTTGACACTTCAGATGATCATAACAGCTATTGGCAGATTCAACCTAAAACAGGAGCTACTTGTAACAGGGGGTAAGTTAGAGGACTTTTCTTTCAAATATTCTTGTTACACCTAAAAATACTAAAATTATACTGTTAGCTATGTGAAATTCCCAAGCCCAGTTACCCAGAATTTATTTAGAGATATTCCACCTTCTTATTCCTTGTGATGAAAATTTTTTAAGAATAGATTTCGATTAGATTAGAAGATTTGAACAAAGTAAGTAAACAAAATTTTGCCCTTACAATTTCATATTTTCTCAATCATTGTGTTAAAAATTTGAGTCTATTTTCAAATCAAATAAAATTTGGCAGTTTTGTGGCTGACCTCTTTGGCTATTTAACAGAACGCATCTTTAATTGGCCTACCATGTTGTTGACACGTTTTGGGTTACACAGTCTTCATCAGGACAACATGACTAAGAGACCAGAATACGGAGTACACGCCTTGTTTATTTTTTTGCTTTTTTTTGTAGAATTCCTATTAAATGTGGTCAAAGTATAAGACTGATGCATTTATCAACCCAACGAAATTTACATAGCCACCATTTTCAATCACCATTGTCTAGAAATTTGGAAGTCAGTGCTTTCGGTGATGAGGGCGTCGGTGATGAAGGTGAGTGTCACTGTTGAAATTAAATGGAGTTTTACTCCCTACTTTGTTTCTTGGGCTAAGACAAGCAATGCCATGCTGTGCTCAATGTAGGAGATTTTGTCAGGATGCTCTATTTTGAAGGATCTTTAATGTCCACAGCCTGTAGCCTACTGGGCATTGGTCAATTGGAAGTACATGGTTCATGGTAGCTCATGTCCACCAGCTGGTCTTTGACCAAACCACTTGATGTTTCTAGATCTGAAGCCATATCCAGCTTGGAATATCCATTGGAATTATGTGGAAAATTGAATTTTGAAATCTATCTCTTTACTTCTTTGATGGCTGGATGATCATGTTATTTAAATTCAAAAAAATAAGAGTTACTGCCCTTGTTGATTATAATATCCTTTTGTAGGTGATAATTGGGTAGTCACATGTTCCAGTAAATATTGGAGTAGACGAGATCAAGTTAGATTTAAGCATGTCGTCACTGAACAGTAAGTTGAATTTCTTTAGAGTTACTGCCCTTGGGTGAAGGGGAAGGCCAGAAATGAGAGGTGTCACAGGCCGCCCGGAAGCCAATGGAATTCAGATGGCCAGAGATGAATTTTGAGCACTTTAATTTTCACTTTAAATAAGTGAGTGGGGACACGTTTGCCAAAACTTTTCACATAGTTTTCATTACTTTTTTCGGTTATTTACATGTGAGTGGGGACACGTTTGGCAAAATTTTATGTCATGATTTAATTACTCTTTTTTTAGTTATTTACATGTGAGTGGTGACACGTTTGGCCGACCAATCAGTGGTCAGAGGGAAATCAGCGCCTACCCAAACCCTAATAGTTTAAATTACTGGCAAGCCGCGGAAGGTATCTTCGTCAAGCCAGCCCCAGACCCAAACACTGGCAAAACTTTCACCCATGATGAGTTATGATCCAACTAATTTATTTGTTTATGATCTATCATTTTTATTCACTGGTATTTTAAAAGGGACACAGTTGACTAATTATTTGATAAGCTAGGAAAGCAAATATTTATCCAACTGTATCCCTTTTAAATCTACAATTCTGTATTTTTAAGATATTTGTTATGGGTGTATGTGTACTAAGGAATACTTGTTTCATTTCATGGGCCCTAATTTTCAAAAACTGACACTTTCAGCATTCCCCTAATTTGATTGGTCATTTCAGTTTTGGTTTAAGCCAATCAGAGTTCCTTATTCCGAAACTTCAGTAGCTCTGTCATCTGATTGGCTAAACCTTAATATTTCCTACCATTTTCAAGGTATATGACCACAAGACAAGGATCATGTGAGAGAGTTGCGTGGACGTTAGGCACTTACTTTGAAAGATCAAAATTTTTTCCTGAAATTTTTTTTTAAAGAAATCCAACTTTAATTCTCATGTTTCTTTGAAGAATTTGGCAACAATTTAAATTTGAAAATTCCATAATTTCTTGGACGACTTTTTTGGCCAATTTCTTTTCATCATTTCTGAATCATTCTGGTATGATCTGATTTATACTAAATCATGTTCAACTGATTGTAGATATCATGTTCAACTGATTGTAGAAATCATGTTCAACTGATTGTTGAAATCATGTTCAACTAATGTAGAAATCATGTTCACCTTCTGTAGATATCATCTTCAACTTCTGTAGAAATCATGTTCAACTGATAGTAGATATCATGTTCATTTATAGAGGGAAATTTCAAATCATGTTCATGTTGTTAATAAAGTATTGTTTTTATTTCATTTTTATTTTTTCATTGGGGTCTACATTTGGCCAAGAAGCTTCCCGCCTAGGTAACAAAGCTCTTTTTGGAGAGCACAAAGCCCTACTTTACAAATGTGGTTGGCTTAATTTTGGAGAGTCACACAGGGGTACAAATTAAATGCCCCTTGAATTTTATAAGCTTGCTTATTTTCATGTGTACATTTGGTGTGATTCCTTTAATAAGAATTGGATATTTAAAACAAAAATATTGAAGCAAAATATTTTGTTAATACAGCATCGCGTCGTGCTAACGAATTTAAAAAAAAATCCCCGTTTTCATGTAAACGTAACGTAAAATTCCGCTTTATTTATGCGTTATGCCTATGTAGTGTATTACTGAGAATTAAATGTAGTCTGTATTTTCAACATTTTTATTTTTGTGTGGTTATTTCCCTTTATATGTTCATGAAAATTGTGTGTTGTATGAATTCTTTGCTCTCGGTATATTCGATACCGTCATTGATAAATAGGTTACCTTAGACGTTTTCCGTATTAAAAATTTTCCTTATTGCACACTGCATGATTTGTCTGTGTCTATAAACCCTATTATCAATAGAAAAAGAATGACATAAGACTAAATTATTTTTGTTTGATTAACTTTAATACATCGTATTATAAATTTCCCTTCATTGCACACTGCATGATTTTACCCATCTTCTTAAGCCCAATTATCAACATCGTATATAAATTTAGTAAAGCTGGTTTAAAAACATTGACTTATGGACTTTGTTAAGAAGCTTAAAAGCTTACAGCTAATATGTTGAACACGACCACAGGGCTTAATGGGCGGATTCTCCATTTCGAGGGTGGATTTTGGGTCTACTTTCTTTCGTCTCCATTGTAATCTTACACGTTTTCTACCACGATAGCGTTCTAATGACGTTAATTTCAACCAATCAAAGCGTGTCATGTTCAACCCGTTTCGCGTTAACACAACGAACTATTTCTTTACTTTGAAGCATGTATACCTGCAATGACATGACTTTAAATTTGCCAAAAATCTGACATTTGTTTACCAAAGTTTGTTTACCGTTGACAACAGACCGACTTGGCATTGTTTACAGTAATGACAACCATGTCGTCGTTAATCGCAATAAATACCGGTAAAGTCAGGACTCAAAACGACATCATGCCAAGTCATAGTGGAATTAATCACTTCAGTCCATTACGTTTATGGGAATTCAATGATGGTACCATCCTAACTCCGACGTTAATGTCTTTCAGTGGGTCATTAACAGAATGGTGCTTTCATGACTTTGTTTTTTAAATCGAAGACTGAGGCGACTCGCCTTTTTTGAGACACTGTCATATATAGAAAAGACATCTATAGAAATAGTGAGTAGAATTCCTAGTTTGAGATATTTTTATAGGAATTATGTAATTTTCGTACATTTCTAGTACTTCTGAAGACTATTTACATATATTCAAGACCCAAATCAACCCCCGAAAATTGCGAACTTGACCCTTTAAGACGTTGGGATGAATGTTATCAATTATTACAATCAATACGTGTTAATGACAAAGAAACCCTCCAAAAGACAAACAAAATATGTGTTCATTGATAAATAACAATGACAGCTCAACATGATGTCACGTGACATTGATTGGCCAATTATATTGCCTTTTTATTATCTTTTATTTTTTCAGTCCATATAGAAAATATTTACTTTTGATATCGACTGTGTCATGTTTCGTTTTTTCACAATATCCCCTCTGTCTTGGTTAAAATTCATCGCGTCTATTAAAGTCTGTTTCGAAGGTTTTTTGCTTACCGTAAAACTCATAACGACCAGCGCCAGCGTCCCGGGGTTGGTTGTACAAGTAGGTGGCTATCTCAATGGCGTGGGTCATGGGGAAGCGGGCAACTGCTCTAGACTTGAATGCGACAACTCTGCGGAGGCGCCATAGTCGCAAGCCTCTCCTAGAGCGTTTTAGAATGTTCTCCTGAGAAATTTTCGAAAAATCGAATTGGTTCATTCTGACACATATTTCAGGGGAAAAACGTAAAAAAATCATATTTGAGGTGCCATTCTTCTAGGGGACAAATTTGCCCCCCCCCCTTTCTGTACTATGTACCCCCACAGGGCACATGTTACTGGGGTGACGAGCTTACTGATCCGGTACGGACTCGTTCGCAGACGCACCGAATGTATATAAATACATGTATATAGATACTATATACTAGCTGAGAGAAAGTCGTATTCGTACTTCGATTATTGTCCTACACTATCTCCTGACGCGAGTCGTCTGCTTGTGGCTTTCCCGCCTAATTAGCGACTACTTGTTACTGCAATTAGTATACGACTATAAATAACTAACTAATAACTAACCATTTTGGATTATTAAGAAATTTTACTGACTCGAGAGTGCTGCGTTTGTGATGGAATTCTAAAGTAAAGTGCCGGAATTTTGGAGAAAAAATTCCAAGTTTAATAACCGTTGTGCCTTGTGATTGGAATTTGCAGTGTGGTTTTTTTTTTTGCGGAGTCCAACTTTGATTTTTTTAGAAAATCGCAGAATTTTTTTTTCGTATTTTACGAAATATTAAGTGCCTTTTGGAGAACTATAACTTTACTCAAAAAGACAAAAGCTCCATTGAGTATTAGCAAAAAAAGGGAATTTCCCAAAAATATTAAAGATATATAGAACTCATTAAAAATGGATGCCCTGTTTATCCACGTGGCCAACAAATTGGAAGCAACCCGATTTGGCGATAATCTCGGTAATAACAAATTGATAGACATAAAAGAACTTAAAACCTTGAATTTATGGAGAGCAGTTTTCGCCGAATTCTTAGCAACGATGTTGTTTGTCTTTCTAGGATGTGCTGCAACATTGACGGGAACGGGCACAGCCAAAGAAGTTAAGGTATGTTAAGGCTTTCTTTACCATTTTGAGGACGGTCTGTAGCTCAGTTTGTTAGAGCGTTAAATTCCTTACGTCATTTACTTCAAGTTTAGTCGAATATAACGATAATTATTTGTAATGACGATATTTCAATGATTTTATTACGATATTTTAATGATGTTATAACGATATTTCAATGATACAATTACGATATTTCAATGATGCAATTACGATATTTCAATGATGTTATTACGATATTTCAATGATGTTATTACGATATTTCTCATGATTACGATATTTCAATGATGTTATTACGATATTTCAATGATGTTATCACGATATTTCATGATTACGATATTTCATGATTACGATATTTTATGATTACGATATTTCAATAATGTTATTACGATATTTCAATGATGTTATCACGATATTTCAATAATGTTATTACGATATTTCAATCATGTTATCACGATATTTCAATGATGTAATTACGATATTTCAATGATGTTATCACGATATTTCAATAATGTTATTACAATATTTCAATCATGTTATTACGATATTTCAATCATGTTATTACGATATTTCATGATTACGATATTTCAGTGATGTTATTACGATATTTCATGATTACGATATTTCAATGATGTTATCACGATATTTCAATGATGTTATTACATGATTACGATATTTCAATGATGTTATCACGATATTTCATGATTACGATATTTTATGATTACGATATTTCAATAATGTTATTACGATATTTCAATAATGTTATTACGATATTTCAATGATGTTATCACGATATTTCAATCATGTTATCACGATATTTCAAGGATGTTATCACGATATTTCAATGATGTTATTACGATATTTCAATGATGTTATCACGATATTTCAATAATGTTATTACAATATTTCAATCATGTTATTACGATATTTCAATCATGTTATTACGATATTTCGGATGGGTCGACAAATTTCAATCACATCTGCCGTCTTCATTAGCCGAAGCTGAAATACGAAACGAAATTTCAGACGAAATGCCCCACTTCATTTGATCATAATTCAAACAATGATTTAGATTATGGCACAACTGTCATAAACCTACGTCATTTACGAGTTGAAATCTAAGTCAATTTATGGCTCTTTTCAATCTCGGCGCCATTTTTCAAGCAATAAAATATATCGTCGAGAGTTATTTTGAATAGTTAACCTTGAATAATAGTGTAGACGAATTTGTCATTTGATTGAAAACAACCCATGCATCTCAAAAGATAATCTTGAGATATTCAATTGGTTGTAGAGAGAGGTTTCTAGATATTTTATGTGCATTAAGGGCACTTATTGCTTCTATATACACATTTGTTAGGTCAATGAGCTTCAAACTCTAATTTTAAAGGGACAGATGCGCCGTACTTAAGTCTCAGAAACAGGAATTTTTTAGCTAAGCTAATCAGTAATAGTGTTCACAACACTACGTTGAAATTTGAGCCCTCAAATCCATGTGTGTCCAGAATCCACGTTTGAAAGTTAAAATGACGACTCGTCAATTTTAGATACTCTTTTGTGATATACAGAAATATATCAACTCAGCACCCCTTTCGAAGCGTTTTCGTTTTTGACATTTGGTTCTTCAACTCAGCAGTCCTTTCAGAGAGCGTCGAGTGTCCCATGCCAGGTATCTTCATCCTTCTAAAACACCTGTTGTCATTCTGCGATTTGATTCATCAGCTCAACACCCCTCTTGAAGTAGAGTGTGCTCAAGCTTCTCATTCACCTACTCTCATTCTGCGACTTGGTTCGTCAACCCGGCAGCCCTTTGGGAGAGCGCCTTTGCAGTAAAGAGAGTCGCTAGCAATGCACTTGACGACTTGACAACAAAGATGATGATGTTATTGCGGTCGGTATTCATCGACAAAAAAAAAAATAGATGACGAGGTCGTCATTCCTTCAGTGACATTTTTGCTGTCAATTTAATAGTTCAGAAGTTTATTTTACGTCACTAGAGAAAAAAAAATGGCTTATTTTTAAACAATAAATCAGTTTTTTTATAGGAGAACGCGGATAAAAAAAATATGATTGGTTCATTAATGGCCTTTCACGAGATAGTAGTAAAAATAATTACAGTAGATTAAAGGGACAGTGTGGTGTTGTATCTGAATGTTTTAAAGGGCCAGTCCGATTATTTTAGAAGCAGGAGCATATCTAGAAAGTGCCCGAGGGGTTGGGGGTCAAAAAAATATAGCTGTCTCTCCGAAATCTTGAGGGCTTAATTTTCACTTTTTTATCATCCAAATTAAGTGTAGAAGAGACACTCCATTTCATTTCATTTTTATTGTTATCCGAATTAATTTTAAAATAGCCACTCCATTTCATTTCATTTTTATTATTATTTCAATCAAATACAGAAGAGACACTCCATTTCATTTCATTTTAAGATACTCCATTTCATTTCATTTTTATTATTATTTCAATCAAATACAGAAGAGACACTCCATTTCATTTCATTTTAAGATACTCCATTTCATTTCATTTTTATTATTATTTCAATCAAATACAGAAGAGACACTCCATTTCATTTCATTTTAAGATACTCCATTTCATTTCATTTTTATTATTATTTCAATCAAATACAGAAGAGACACTCCATTTCATTTCATTTTAAGATACTCCATTTCATTTCATTTTAAGATACTCCATTTCATTTCATTTTTATTATTATTTCAATCAAATACAGAAGAGACATTCCATTTCATTTCATTTTTATATCATTTCAATCAATTGTATACGAGACACTCCATTTCATTTCAAGTGTAAAGGAGATACTCCATTTCATTTCATTTTTATTATTATTTCAATCAAATACAGAAGAGACACTCCATTTCATTTCATTTTTATATCATTTCAATCAATTGTAGAAGAGACACTCCATTTCATTTCATTTTAAGATACTCCATTTCATTTCATTTTTATTATTATTTCAATCAAATACAGAAGAGACACTCCATTTCATTTCATTTTTATTATTATTTCAATCAAATACAGAAGAGACATTCCATTTCATTTCATTTTTATATCATTTCAATCAATTGTATACGAGACACTCCATTTCATTTCAAGTGTAAAGGAGATACTCCATTTCATTTCATTTTAAGATACTCCATTTCATTTCATTTTTATTATTATCCAAATACAGTAGGCCTACAGAAGAGACACTCCATTTCATTGCATTTATATTAGTTTAAGAATGTACACAGTGCAGATGGATTAAAAATACAATGAAAAAGATTTAGTAGTTGACCCTGACATGGATTAAGGGCGTGTAATTTAAGATGTAAGTGTTGAATACATACAATAAGATATGATATGTAATTTATTAAGACACAGTATATTATATTTACATTTGATCTAACATTTCTTCTAGTAGGGTTTCACTAAACCACTAAATGTACCCTAATGTACAGAAGCTCGATTTGAACACGAAATCTTTTGTTAGGTGTAACTTTTATGTGCCTGATTGGGTTAGTGAAGACTGGTACTGAGGGAAATTTTGCCAAGACACTGCTATTAGCTTACTCTTTTTAGATTTCTAATTGTCGAGGATTTTTAACGTGCACAGCCTGTAGCACCGGTCCTTGGTTTTTTGTCCCATCTGAACTACTAGACACTTTTTCCACCAGTTCATGCACGACCATCCAGTAAAGAAAAACTCTGAAATAAGATCTTTTATGCCAGCAGCAAAAAATCTACCCAAAGACTAGACCATTTGTCAACGTCGCTCTCTGAGCTGGTTCATGTACGACCAAGCCCCTAAAAACCACCATCGGTCAAGAAAAGGTCCACCTTCGATCTTGTGTGGGCCTACCATTGGGAAAAATCTTATGCCTTCTATTATAGAGTTCTATATTTGCCAACTGGGTTTACTCTCCAGCTCTTAGTGATGATACAGCTAAAAATAGTAACAACCGCTCACGTCAATATTTGGAGTAATTTATGTTGAAGAAGCTTTGAGAGGTCTTGACCTCCACCCACCAAAGAACAACGTAATCCTAACATAAAAACATCATGTGTACACAAAGTTAGTAATATATGGGCGGAACGTTTCGGGAGTTTATATTTTGGTAACCTTGACCGAGGTCCTTTTGAAAGCTTTACGTAAACGTAATTCTTGTGTTGCTCTTTCTTGTGTTGCTCTTTCTTGAGTTGCCCTTATTGTATTAGTCTTTCTCGGGTTACCCTTTCTTGTGCTGCACTTTCTTGTATTAATCTTTCTTGGGTTACCCTTTCTTGTGTTACCATATTTTACGTTCTTACGTTGCTCTTCCCCACCCCCTCTCATATATCTAGATAGGTCAATATCAAGTTCTCGACAACCATCAGGACTAGACAACCCCAAGGAATGTCTCTAATGACGTCCACTACGGACATCGTAAAAAAAGTCCCACATTCTTCTCCTGTCCAATCTTATTAGCCGTCTAAATAGTAGGGCAAGATACCATGTTATAGATAACTTATCTTATCATAAATAAACGTGTTTTTTATTTGACCACCGGGTTATGTTACCATCTGACGTGGGGTGGACTAATTTACAATGGTCAAAATGTGGTCAAATTAACACAAAAGTAACGCATTTTGTAGATGTGTTTGTCAACGGAGCAGCTGACTAAAACAGATTAGTTTGTTGCTTAGTTTCCGAATTATTGTAAACAGATCAGCTTAATCTGTAAACATAGCATGTTTTTAAAATAACTTAGCTTCTGAATATTTGTAAACATATCAGCTGTATTTGGTAAACAGATCAGCTGTATTTGTAAACAGATCAGTTGAATTTGTAAACAGATCAGTTGAATTTGTTAACAGATCAGCTTTGTTTGTAAACAGATCAGTTGAATTTGTAAATAGACCAGCTTAATTTGTATACATAACAGCAAAATTTGTAAATCATTGTAAACAGAGCAGCTAAATACAGTAATGTATCTGATGCGGCATAGATACACTGCGTAGTGCGCAAT